TTGTTACTCACTGAGTTGGAGTACTCACTTTACTCCCTGCACCCCGTATGCAGATTCAAGCATTGCGGATTCTGCTAGTGCGGATTCTGGCAGATATCAGAGTCCAATAAGGTAGCTGTTGACGTCCGCAGTCCCGTGTTTCTCCCTCTTTCCCATTTCTATATCTTATCAGACATTTGTAATAGTTTGTAGACTTTTCAAACTTGTATTGAGTTTTATAGATGCTCATGACTAGTGACACCCCAGTATCGAGCTATGTTTGGGCTGTATTCCGCATATTACACTATCAGTTGCTTAAATTTTGATCTATTTATTCATGTTTAGACTGTTTCTAAATGCTTAATTGTTAATAATTGAAAAATGGGAAGTGTCGGTTAGCCTTGTCTTCACGAGATGCGCCATCACGACCGGATTCTGGTTTAGAGTCGTGACAGTGACAAAAATAAATACACGAGGTGAGTGAAAACCCTATTTTCAAACACAAAAGATGTAAAGATTATTTTAGGCTTTTTGTTATGTGACTATTTTTTACTTTTACCTTTTTGTTTTAGGATTGGAGTTATACGTATATAACTTAAGACAAAAAAATAGATTATAAATCCTCAAAAAGTAGAAAGAGGCTATAATATTTGGAGCTCTCTCTCTCTATATATAAAGGCTGGTTTTTGTAATTATACTTTTATTGAATATGAAGGATAATAAAAATTTAAACATATATAAACAAAGAAACTTGAAAGCATCGTATCAATTTATAAGAGCACGACCGTTTAAAAAGTTCTAATCGAGAAGAACTCTTGAGAAATATTGAAGTAGCTAATGCACTTTATCAGCGATTTTTATAAACTAAAAAGGAGACGTTGGAGAAAGAAAAAGAAAAGAGGAGGTATAACTAAGATTATTTAAGACTTGTGATTTTGGAATTTTAATATAACACGTAAAATGAAAACATATAACAAGAACTTAATCAAGAGAGTTTTTTTTTTTAAAAAAAAAAAATATTTTTCATGAGTTTAGTAAGAGGTGAAAACTTGATTGTTTAAGAAAAAGTAACAATTTCTGATTTTATGAAGTAATGAAGAGTGTGTATATTACAAAAAAGTAACGTAAATGACAGGTAGACAAACAAGAAAAATAATAAAATAAAATAAAAAGTATTTTCAAATGCCAAGGTAATAAGAATATTAAATAGAAAACCTTTTTTGCATCTTCTTTATTGAGAAAATCAGAATAAAAATTTTCTTTTTACAAAAGTAAGGACACATAAAGTAAATTTGGATATAAATTTATTAAATTCCTAAAATTGTGAAAAGAGATGTTATTAACCTAAAAAACTACGGAGTACTAGAAATCTCAAGAAAATAATTGCGATGTGAGGGTCAAAATTAAGTGTAGCAATTAGTCATTTTGACAAAGTAGAAATTTGAAGCAAACAAATAGACTAAGAATAATTTTTGATTTGATCAGTTATTAATTTCTGAAGAAAATACGACTTAATCAGTTGGATGCGCTTCATTATTTTTAATATTTGTTTATTAGAGAAAAGATTATGTCGATAATATAATTGTACGAAGCGCGAACAAATTCATTAGTAACTGTTGTAATAACTACAACCATGATTGCAAGAGCCATGCAATCAAGTTGCTGGAATGCCATTAACCTCTAAGTTCAACTTTAAACTCACAATCGACGTGCAATATTATTTCGTTCTTGTACATTTTCTTAATGAAAAAAGGAATATCTTTATTGGGGAAAATATTTAATGCACCGATCGCTTTTAAAATTAGTGGAAGTCATAGTACTATTTAACTTGTATTTTTATAGAACATACCCTGTAAATAATTTGAATTTTTAATCAATATTCTCAAGTATTAAGGAAAAATTTTAAAATATTTATCTGCTTAGCAATTGAATATCTACTACTTAAATATCCTTAATGAGTCAACTTTCTCGAGATTGAACGATATATACCAATCGGCAATTCAATAATTTTTTTAGATAAAGTTATTATATTTTAAATTTTGCGTATGATATTAGAAATAATTATAAATAATAAGTGAGTGTAAGAAATATTTTTCAACGGAATATTAACACAAGTTTCCATCATTTCTTATTTTTGAAGGATAGTCAAATCAGTTTCAAACGATAGTAATGCAAATAAACATATCACTTGCAAGTTGCAACTCAAGAAGTAACTAAATTAAAAATGTTTTAAATTGTCGTTTTTTTCCATAATGTATATTCTAGTGATTTGGTCCATTGAATTTAGGGTAAATAGCAAATACAAAATTAAATTAATAACTAAATTAGTAATTAACTTAAATGTTAGTATTTAAAAGTAAATAAACTCATGAAAATATAAGGGTTAATAGGTTAGGAGTAATATAATAAAAGTTAAATTAGAAATTAATTTTAAAGTTGCAAAATTAATTTAAAATTAAATAACTTTTCTTTAAATAATATTACTTTATCAGAGAAAAAGGTATGCACATTCCTTCATATTGATGAGTTGGCGCCCACAATAATTGTACTACTATTTGAAAGCATTACAAACTACTTAGATTGCAAAATGTTATAGTATTATATTTACTTTATTTCATGAATTTATAACATTTAAAGTTTTAGATGAATATAAATATTAATTATGAACTTATTGACATTGGTTGAACTTAAACCTAGCATATATTTATATGTAAAAAATATTTAGTGAAATTATTCTGTTATATTTTTATTTAGTGAATTTATTCTGCTATTTTTTTTTATATTTAGTGAATTTATTCTGCTACGCTTTAACTTGTCAATTTCATATATTCAAGCTTAACGGTTGATTTTAACCAGAAAAAAGCTTAAATGTTGATTTAACATATTAACTATTCAAACACTGCAATTAGTTATCTATTAGGTCGTAATTGCATAAAACTTATATATTTAATTGAATTCAAATACAATTTCCTTTTCAATTTCTGTGCTTGATATAAATGAGCTGCCAAATATACTTGATTTAGAAAATTTTAGATTTGGTTGAAGTATTTGTATTATGTGCTTATTAGCAAATGCAACTTTCTTTGGACTCTTTTGCTATTATTATCCGTCTGTATTTGCTATTTTAGTTTTTGATAGAGATGGATTAAGCACTGCATGGCCTAGACAAATCTCATGTTGTAATGACTACTAAGTTTTTATGATCTAAACTTATAGTGGTCTCACAATTTGTACTATGTATATGTGGAGAAGTCTTGAGTAAATTTCCAATGGATACCGCGTTTAGATACTACTATGCATCTGTCGAAAATCCCCCAAAATTTCCTTTGTTTACTAAATTGTGGGTCCCACGTTTTTGTACTATGCATATGTGGAGAGAAAGTAGGATCTGAAATTACCTCAAAAGTTCCCTTTATTTACCAAATTGTGTGATGACGGTTAATGTAATAATACGAAAATAGGGGTAAATATATAATGGTGGAAGTTGGCATGTCGACGAAGACGTCTCTGTTTCACCTGTTTTTACCGTGCTTCTTATATAAGAGAAATTAACTTATTGAGCGACGATTCACTTAGTTTGTCGAGTGAAATCAGAAACCGTATGAAATCATCATTTACATACGGTAATAATCGAGAACTTCAAAAGTGAATGGAAGGATATTGTAGTGTAGAAAATAATATTGATCTAACTTAAAAAGAAGATAGATTTGAACACTTGTGAGTATTAATAAAAGAGTACAAAACGTTACTATTTGAAGGTGTTGAATTTTTTATTTTACATGTAGGGTAGTTAGTTTTTTAAGAAGGGTAATTTAGTAATTCAATTTTTCGGATAAGGGTTTCTCTGTAACGACCCGGCCGATCGTTTCGTGAGTTATAGCCTCGTTTCTCGTATTTCTGCTTCCCTTTGTGTTCTTCAACTATATTTGATCGTATCGCGTTAGTTGGTTCAGGTTCGGAGTGATTTTGGAGTGAATCGAGACACTTAGTCTCTTTTGTGAAGGCTTAAGTTGAGAAAGTTGACCGGATGTTGACTTATGTTTAAACGACATCAGATTTGAATTTTAATGGTTCTGTTAGCTCGATTAGGTGATTTTGAATTTATGAGCAAGTCCGGAATGTGATTTGGAGGTCTGTGGTAGAATTAGGCATGAATTGGAGAAAGTTGGAAATTTGGCTATTTTGGACGGCAATGAAAAATTTGATATCGGGGTCGGAATAGAATTTCGGAAGTTGGAGTAGGTTCATAGTGTCATTTGTGACGTGTGTGCAAAACTTGGGGTAATTCGGACGTGATTTGATATGTTTTGGCGTCGTTTGTGAAATATGAAAATTTAAATAAGGAATTGGGGTGGAAATTTTTTTTTTTTTTTGGGGG